GGAGCTAATGTTCTGTTAAAGGAGACAAAATTAATTCACATTTAGTCTGTTTGATATATTCCAAAATCCAAGACTTACAGGGTGGGAAGCACTGCTGTGGGCCTTAAAAGTCACTTCCTGGATTATTATAGCCCTCTTCCTCGTCATCCTGCCCAATCCCTCCTACTATCCTATTTGTCCTACGCAGTTGTCATAATCATCACACAGACACCCACATGCCTACTATGTCATGGTGTCAAGTTTAAATTCTTGAAGTTTGAGACCTTTCATATACTTGGCATCTTATGTTTCCTTTAAACCTTTTATCAATTTCCCAGTCTGTCTGCAGTTCTGCCTAAGACTTTTCTGTCATCCTTAGGAGGGTTATGCTGATTGTTTTCCCAGTACTTTGGTCCACCTTGCTTTAACCCATTGCTTTCTAGCAATTATTTTGGCAGTTACTTCATTTTCCTAAGACAAAGATTAGAATGTATTGTTACTGGTGAAATAATAGAAATATATGGTTGAGCCATATACAAAATAACTTACAGACTCCAACCAGTGGCCCTCTTCAGGGAGTATTTGGAATCATCTGAGTGACAGTTTGACAACAAATTTGGACTGAATCTTAATATCTAGATGCTGTGTGTAACAAAATCTGTAAATAGAAAATATAAAATGGTTAGAATTAGTCCATATGAGAGTTTACGTTCAGAGGTTTGGAGGGCAAACCTAGTGACTCAAAGGGAACTTCTGAAGATTTCTTGCTCTTGACTATTACATAGAGCAGTCTCTTGCTTCACAGTTGTCAAAATCCCACTTCATGAACGCTCACAGACCAAATGGCAGAAAACAACCCAGTTGTTTTCCCAGTTGTTTCTATTCCTAAAAATTGCATAGGTGGGTACATATCGTATTCTATTGTATTTTCTGAAAGCAAAGGTACTGTCATGTTCTTGTGGTCTATGTGCATATCGCTGTAGTTATCCATGCTATAGATAAAACTGTTGAAAAGAATTAATTGTGGTGATAAACTCCCTTAGATGGACTCTGTTAGACGTGCCTCCTTATGGTGTTTGTGCCTTAACTGTCTCTTCTAGGGGAAATTAATGTACGAAAGAAAGGCTTCTTGATATTTAGACCTTAGACTTGATATCTAATCCAACACCCTCCCTCCCCCATTTATAGGAATATTACTCATTTATTGAGTACTACTATATGCCAGACACAAAAAGCTAGGTACTTTGTTTTATTTTTAGATCCACAATAACCTTGATTTAGGTAGTAGTGTCCCTGTTTTACTAGTGAGAAAACTGAGGCCCAGAAAGGTTAAATTATAATTGTATGGCTAGTTTGTGACAACTACAGATACTGCAACTAAAAATTTACCTTTCTGTTTTTTTTTCATTCTTTCTCTAGAAATACATATTTAGCTCTTTAGAGCTAGTAACAGTATATTTTTTAGGTTAGACTTATTGTGGGAAGTTTTGAATTTAAAAACTAAAAAAAAAAAAAAAAAAAAGGTTTATTCTAAAGGTTTAAATTTTTTAAATTTTAATCTGCTGTTATGTGCTTCTGTTACTCCTGACCTTAGCGTTGCAGGATACTTTCTTATCCATATTTTGTGATTGATATATGTGTGATTCTTTGTATGTACAAAAGCTTGAGCTTGAGGTTTTTAGAGGAAAGGAATAAAAGAAATTAAGTTGGTTGAATTAAGTATGGCTTGCTGGATTTGGTTATTCCCACAGCAAACTTGAGCATTCAGTTTACCCATGATTAAGGGTGCTGATACTACATATAAGGGCGTTCTGCCTTCCATCTCTTTTCTAATATCAATAGTATTAATTGATGCCAGGCAAGAGGAGTGCTGCCATATTTGAGTCAGCTACTTTGTCAAGAGAGTATTTTGCAGAATGCACCTGAAGCTGTTCTGAAAGTTAAGTATCATTAAATACGTTGTCAAACCCTGAAGTTGAAATTCCAGCCATTCAGGGAGCCCCTCAGGGAGATCACTGCTTTTCCCTTGCAAAAATAAAAATAGTAGCCTATAAAACGCTATTTAAATATATACTCTATGTCTAATTCTAATAGCTAGTATTTGTTAAGTGCTGAGTAAGTGCCAAGTGCTGTTCAAATTGCTTTTTAGGCTCACACCTATATAATCCCAGCACTTTGGGAGGCCAAGGCAAGAGGATTGCCATCTTGAAATTTTTTTTTTAAGTACTTTTTAGGTGTTCTTTTAAATGATTCTACTTTACAGATGAAGACACTGATGTGCAGGGAAGTTTAATTCACCTTTTTTTTTTTTTTTCTCAAGTTTACAGCAGGTATTTAGTCATTGAGCCATCATTCAAATCATAATAACTAGTCTTTACAAAATAGAGCCCCAGAGTGCTACAGATAAAAAGTTTTTGTTTTGCTTTGCTTTTTAACTTTGGTGTTGTCTCTTTCCCTTTCTTTCTCCCCTCATCTTCTCTCTACCCTATGATCTGTTTTGGATTTTTCTCGTTATATATAAGCTTTAACTTTTCTTCCTTTTTTTCCCCCCTTTATTTCTTTTTGAATGGTTTTAGTGTTTGTGGGAGCAGAAAACTCTGGAAATGTATTCATAAGTTTAGAAATTATATAAGATACTTCAGAATAATAATACTTCATTGTTTTAGAAATTTCCATTTTGAATTATGTTGTTTATGGGGAGGGCTATTAAAGTGTTCTCTACCAATTTATGATACATTTTAGATTTCCCACTTTTTTTCTGGATATCTGTCAGGAGATGGTGTAGAGGTTTGGTAAGTAATACAGTTTGATTTTGTATGTCTCAAGGGTTACTCATTCAGTCACATATTTGAGTTTATTTTATTCTGGCCTTTTTTCCCTGTGGGGATTCTGTTTGCAGTATTAATTGAAAATCTTTATGTTAATGCTAATTTTGATTTTTTTTTCCACTAGCATGTATTGGAACACTCAGGCTTGAAGAAGGACATAGGTAAAAAGTATAATATGGAACATTTTCTAACATTAGGGTTGTGAAAATTCTCTTATTGTTTAGTTGCATACTTGGCATATTCAATCTGAAAAAAATTATTTATAAAACAATTTAAAAGATAATGTTTAAGCCAAAACAGTTATTTATATTTCAATTCTCTTTTATTTTTATAAATAAAACACCAATTTCTTTAATCACAAAGGTCAAGAAAGGTTATCTCATGTTACATTAGGACATACTTAGGACTTCAAAGTATTTCCCTTCCGTGTGAAATTTTATCCAGAAGACTTGAATTACTTAATTGTAAAGTGACTAGCAAACGTGAATCTAAAACATGGTTTCAGTTTTTCAGAATCAGGCCTGCTTTGTCCCTAAATGCTTTCTTATTTCCCCAGAGCCCTTATTGGATTTAAGCCCCATATCATATCTCACATACCTGAGACAGACATACCACAGTGAACCCTGCATGTCTTTGTTAGTTCTTTTCCGTGCCTAGAGGTTGTAGAAGACCAAGGAACCTTGGAAGTGACTTACTCTTTTGCTTCATAAAGTTGCTTTAAAACAGCCTTTATTTTAATATATTAACAAGGTATGTCACGCATTTTTAAATTTTAAGGTTAATTAGTCATTAATTTTGTCAAACAAATGTTCTTTGGAAACTAGGTATCTTCAGTGTCTTTTACTTGGAGTTACTTGAAGTTTGCTTAAACTTTATTCACTTGGAGTAGAACTTCCTAGTTAAATGATTGAAAAGGACTAGTTCTGCAAATCTGTGAGAACATGAGCTTCTGCAAATGCATAATATAAATTCTCCTTTTTTTAAAAAAAAACTTTATTTTTACAAACCTAGATCTCTTCCTGCTTTGATTTGTCTTTATCATATCTTTCAGAACAAGCCTTTGATGGAATTCTAGGAAAGGTTGAGATTAAGAATATATTAAAAATATATATATATTTTTTTTTGAGACGGAGTCTCGCTCTGTCGCCCAGGCTGGAGTGCAGTGGCCGGATCTCAGCTCACTGCAAGCTCCGCCGCCCGGGTTTACGCCATTCTTCTGTCTCAGCCTCCTGAGTAGCTGGGACTACAGGCACCCGCAACCACGCCCGGCTAGTTTTTTGTATTTTTTAGTAGATATTCCACTTTGTACATTCTGTTTATATTATAGTAAACTAAGTTAGCAAGATAAAATTAGGAATTTCACCCAAGGTATCAATCAGATGGAACCATTAGTCCACTGAAGAATTTACTTTTTAAAAAAAGTTAGTGGAGGAAAGGCGATGCTGCTGCTTAAAAGTAATCAGAAATAAAGATGGTAAGCATCATATTATACATGGTAAATATATACAAGTTTTGTCAATTTAAGAAAAAATACAAAGATGGTAAGGCATCTTTGAAATTAATTTGTTGTCAGTAGGAAATTTCATCTGATATATATAAATTTTGTTTCATAAAACAAGGAGAAATGGTGTAAATAATACAAGTGTGGCTGTTGACATTTGAAAATGTCCGTTTATTTTTGAAGTGACCCCCCCCACAGATTATATAACTGTAGAATCAAATACAGATTTTTTCACTTTTCTTCCTTGCTTTAGCATTTTTTCAAAAGTTACCTGAAAGTTCAGTTTAGATTGAAAAATAAGGGCCTGATGAATAGCGCTGTGTATGATGGTATTAGAGTACATATGTTAGTATTTTCATGAAAGAGGAAGAGAGCAATAACTGATTTGCCAATGATTAAAAGATAGTGGCGACATTCTCCTTTGAAAGTTTGGGCTAGAAATTTATAACCTTTGGCCCATGAAACTATAGTAGCTTCAGTCACTGCTTCCATGCCACATCTCTACCTAAAGGGAGGGTGGAATCCGCCTTCTTTTTTTTTTTTCTGAGACGGAGTCTCACTCTGTCGCCCAGACTGGAGTGCAGTGGCACAATCTTGGCTCACTGCAACTTCCACGTCTCAGGTTCAAGCAGTTCTCCTGCCACCACGCCTGGCTGATTTTTGTCTTTTTAGTAGAGATGGGGTTTCACCGTGTTGGTCAGGCTGGTCTCGAACCCTTGACCTCAGGTGATCCACCCGCCTCAGCCTCCCAAATTTCTGGGACTACAGGTGTGAGCCGCCATGCCTGACCTGAATCCACCTTCTCAAAAGTAACTTCCATTCGCTTTGTCCCTGACAGTCTGCTGGTGACCATGATTTCTAAGGCTCACTCATGGGACCAAAGGCCAGAAGAAAGGGAGGAGGGTGGTAACCAGATAAACTTTGCAACCCCTTTGATATGACCTTTTGGGTGAGAATTTTTATGAAAAGTAATATATACTTCTACTATAGATCTACCTCTAGTTTCAACCTCTAGTTTTAACACTGATTTTTTTCCCTTAATTTCCAGAAGCATGATATAATATCTTTTTCAAAGAAAGTGGGAAGAATGTCCACAGATGTTAGCAGAAGACAATTATGCAGGGAAAATATTTTCTCAAATTAAAATTTAAAACGAAAGTTTGCAGGGAATGCAGTGGGGTTCGGCATTAGGGAGATAGGAGATGATAAAAATACATATTAAATAATTTGTAGCCTGATATGCTTTCTATGTAGATTGCTTACAATTAACATGAAATAAGCATTTCATTCCTTAAACATGCATTTGGGAGCCAGGCTGGAGGCACAGTTTTGCACCAGATGCTCTGTATCCAGATAGCAGAAATGACTAACAGCACTGGTATCCATCAGTCCCAGAGCAGAAGCATCTCCAGAGGGGGACATCTGTAAATCCTGAATCTGATCACCTCATCATCATTAGGCAATGGATAGGATAAGGCTTCATGAAGAGAATTTTGGTGGCTTTAGATAGTTAAGAAAGTATATATAGGAAAAAACTGGAAATCATGTCCAAGATTTTTTTTCTAACTCTTTATCCTGGCATTGCTAACATCTCACAACTAAAATAATCTTAACAGACACTTGATTAGTTTTTAAAAATGCATTTTCATGACATGAGACTACAGAAATTGGCATTTTCTTAAGGTGTAGTTTACATTTGACTGCTTACTATGTCCAGGGCATCCCCAAATTGGGAGAGATTGCCAAGTCAGTTGCCATTTTGCCTGCCTTTTACCAAGGACTAGCCTACAGGTTCAGTTTTGCTCTTGACTTTGGCCCTGAATTGAGAACTGAGTGGAAGTATGGAGACAAAGCCAGCAGCTTTACTCAAAAAATATATATGAGTCTAGTATTTTTTTGTTTTTGAAAGACATGTTACTGAGACCGACCCAGTCAGGGGTCACTGAAGATTGGGTTAAATAAAACAATAATGTTATTCATGTGTTTGAAATTAATATTTTAAAGACCCACACACACACTTTAAAATGTAACTCGATTTGCTGTATAGGCCAGAGAAATATGGCTGTTACGATGAAGGCATAACTTGTCTGGTTCTTGATTATTTACACCATTAGAGAAGAATGCAAATATGAATAGCTCAGAGTAGTTTAACTTTGTAGTTTTCTACTTTTTCTCATGTCCAGTGTTCAGTTTCTTATAAACCAGGCATGAAGAGAAACAAAAAATAATTCTCCAGATCATGAGGTTGTCTTCATCCTAAGCACAGAGGTATAATAATTACATTTCTCAGAAGTTCCCCTTCTGTTTAGAGTCTCAAGGGCAATTGAGATGTCAGTGAGGCTGTGATTAAATGTATTGGATATTGGAGGATTTTAAATACAAACAAGTATTACAGGTGTTACCACTGACCCTGAAGGTAAGATTTACTATGAAAATTTATAATGCAAGGAAGAATGATCATTTTCAAAATATACACTTTGCAACTTAAGTTGGCTGTCACAACAACAAAATACTACAAACCAGGATGTCTAAGAGCAGAAGTCTGTGGTTGCCAACTCTCAAGCCTCTTAGCTTAATCCAATCTAGGATGCATTTCCACTCTGCAACAAACAGTATTTTTGCCTTATTTGCAGATAACAGTTTTAATGCAGGTACTGCCCACAGATTAGCTTTGAGCAGTGTCTTTTTGCTTTGGTTTTTTGATTTGTTTTGTTTGTTTTGAGACTGAGTCTCACTCTGTCGCCCAGGCTGGAGTGCAGTGGTGCGACCTTAGCTCACTGCAACCTCTGCCTCCCGGGTCAAGTGAGTCTCCTGCCTCAGCCTCCCAAGTAGCTGGGACTACAGGCGTGAGGCACTGTGCCCGGCCAAGCAGTATCTTTTTGCTTTAAGTAACTTACATGTACATTTGTTTTCCTTTTGAATGTTTCTTTTTAGTTGCAAACTAAGAAACACTGAGCTCAGCATTCATATAATTGCAAACTCTGTCTTAATTTCTCAGTTTGTTTTCTCAGAAAAAATGCAATTTCTTTTCTTTTTTAAATTTAATTTCTCTTTGTTTTTCTTTATAAAGTGAAGAGTAGGTAGCATGAATTCCTCTTGCCCTTTGCTATTTCAGTCTGGCATCAGTAGCAGTTGTTGCTGTGTCCAGTTTTCATCCATGGATTTTTCTGGGATTGAAGATGTGTTGAGTTCAATGTTGATTATTTAATTGGGCAGTATAAGTAAATTCACTGGCTCTCCTTCCAGTTTAGTGATTACTGAATATCATCCATGACATTTTGTATTTCTTACACTTCTAGAATGCTAGCCTGAAAAGAGAAGTTGTAAGTCAGGGACAGTAGTATGCGCCTCTAGTCTCAGCTAGTTGGGAGGCTGAGGTTTGAGCCCAGGCCTTCATGGCTGTAGTGCACAGTGACTGTACTTGTGAATAGCCACTACACTCCAGCCTGGGCAACATAGCAAGACTCCCACCCCTTAAGAAAAAAAGAGAAGAGAGAAAAAAATAGAATTTATGGAGAGGGAGGCGGATACTTGAATACTTTGACCATACTTGGCATAATAGACATTTTGAGGGCTTTTTGTTTTTCCTTAAAATTCTTCTGAATCAGTTTTCATTGTTTCTAGTCATTATATTTATCATTAATGAATTCATATTCTGCTCTAGCCCCTAAAGATAGTTTGATACGCTAACTTTTGTTTTGCCTTTCTAGCTGCTAAGATAGATAATGGTTATTGCAAAATGCACGTTTTTAAATGGTCTCCAGTGTGGATTGCTTCTGAGCTGCTGATGGATTGAATACATTGAGAAGGAATGTGTCATTTGGAATCCAGGACCAGTCAGCAAGGATAACTGCCTGATTTTATGGTCAGAATGCTCTAACTCTTATGGCATACTGATGACTTTTTTCCATTTTCCAAAAAAGCAAGTTTTGTCAGTCTCAGTGTTTCTCTGATCTAGCTACTCACAATTCCATTCCCAAAGTAGTGACCTAGTTCTGTCACTTGGGTTTCAAAGGGAGTTGAAGTGTCACTGAGTGAGTACAGCAAACCTGTTTAATGATTTATAGGAAGCAAAGAAAAAGAATTTTGTTTGCTAACCTTAGAAGTATATCAAATTTTGGTTTAATTTATAATTTTGCAAAGTATGAAGATATTTCCTGGCTAACTCTAGATGAATTATTCAATATTTTATCTCCTATCTTAATGAAGTTAATTTTAATGCTAATTTCCTATAACCAAGAAAACAGTTGAGTTAAATAACCCTTATCTTTTCAACTTAAAGCTTATACTACTAATAATCATATAACATTCACTTCCTTTTTTCTGACTTAATTGGTAGGTAAATAAAATATTTCAAATTTGATTGGCAAATTGGAAAATCACTTAGAACAATCTGCTAGTATTTTTTATGCCCTTTGTTTTTTCCTTTACACATTTATAGTGCAAAATAAATCAAGGACAAAGACTCGCACTGAGTTGATCAACTTGTGTTTGGCCTTCATGGGAATTAGAACTTTTTTCCCCTCAACATTTATTAAAGGAACATACAGAATTTCAGACTATAGCAAACTAATACCTTTAGCTTGACTAAGAGTTGATTTTCATTAAGGAACAGAACTTGTAATGTATTTCAACATACTTTAATGTATGACTCATCCCTGTTAAAGTTGTGAGACTCAAAACTATGCCCAAATCACTTAATTTTATGTCCTTCCCTGTTTACTGTGTCTGACCTTCAAGATTTCGTGACTGATGCTGAAATGGAAGCCAACCACTGCAGAAATTTGGGGGAAAATGAGATCTGAAGAATGCAAGGGGAAGTAGGAATTCATTTCTAGCATTTCCAAACCTGCTTTATCGTGTCTGCTCCACCACAGTCAGAGGAAAAGACTGAGTTCATGGAAATTACCAGCTAAGCCTTACATCTGTCTTTAATGTTTTTAGGAAATATACTGAAAAGGTAAGTGAGATGTCTGTTTTAAAGAAAGGCTCTTACTAGGTACCTTAAAACCAGTTGTTTCCTATTAGTAAAGATGGGCAGCTTCTTTATTCCTAGCTTCACAAAGGCTTTCCCCTGTTCTGTGTGTTTCTCAGTATTGTGGAGAAGGTAGTTTCTGAGCAGGGTGGTGCTTTTCCTCTGCTTCTCAGCAGCTAAGACAGAAATTGCACTGAAGTGTACAAAATGCCAATTTTTGTTCTGTTGTACTCAAATCCTTTTTTTAAAAAAATTATTTCAGTTGAGTCTTAGTTTTATTCCTCACTATATAGGAAAAAAATATTTAATGCCTCAAAGTTCTAGTCAGCATTACATTTGCATTACTCTTATTTGCAGCAAATATGAGTAAAATTATAGGTTTTTAAAGGTCTCTAATAACATCCACCTATATTGGTTTTGTAGATAATCCATAAATTACCAGAAATGAATTATTCTACATTTATTATACACCCATGTAATAGGTATAGTGCCAGGCCCTGGAATATACTATTGGCATCATCTCATGTGATAAAAAGACACATTCCGCCATCCTGGAGCATACAAAGGTAGACTAGCATGTAGTTCATGTGCTTAAGGAGTTCGTTTTTATTGACGTGATACAGACAGAATTGCAGTTTAGGGAGTCAAAATCTAATAAAATGAGACTAATTCCATTTTTCCTTTAATACTAATAACTAATGTGTAAATCTGAATAGGACACATTCTATATGAAAACTCTGTGTGTGCATCTGCACTACTTTGTGTGTGCCAAGTACTGTTTTAAACTCTAATCCTCAGAACTGTTCTCTGAAATAGGTACTAATACTAAAGCTTATTGTTTAAGGAAGGCAGAAATTAAGTAACTTGGCCTAAGTTTGCATAATTATGATCTGGGATCAATATTTGAACCCATACAGGCTGATTGCAGAGCCTGCACTCTTAATTTGAGTGTGATATTTATGTGCAGTACCTGGCTATAAGTACCCACAAAACATTTCAAATTCTTTATAAAATTTGCTTAGTTAAAAAAAAGTACCAATTGCATAGTATGGTTATAAGTCTGGTAGTAGTTAGGCTTTTTACGAGACATGCCGCTTACTGCACCAAGGAGGCAACAAGGCTTTGAGAGCCCAAAATTCCCTTTCTTCAGCTCCTGCTTCCAAGACAGTCATTTTGCATGATAACCCTTTCCCCAAAAACACAGACACAAAATTTAAAGAACTGGAACAGAGGAAGCAGAGCTTATAGTAGTATATATATTTAGTACCCTGTCCCTTAGGTCCACCCCTCTTTCTTTATTGATTGTGGACATTTTGTTTTAAATGCTAAATCATGAGAATATATGACTGCTGAGACTTTTCCAAGGATTTTTAAAAAAACAGATTAGGCTTTGTGCAGAAGTAAAGAAAAAGTGCTCTGAGAACCCCAGGTAGGTAATTTACTTCCTATTGTACAATAGTTTGTTTGAAACCTCTTCACCTCTATCCCTTATTGTTTTATACTCTGTAAATCTGATTTTACCTTTAATAAACTTTTCTGAAGTGAGTGAGTTTTTTTGTCTTATTTCTCATTAGATTCTCTACCTTCTTTGTTCTCTTTATGTTATTGCCACTCTCTTCAAAACTGGTGGTTTAATTAAAGTGAGAGCATCTCCTATATACCTAGTACTGTTGAGGATTAAAAAATATATGTGTGCTGGATGTGGTGGCACACACCTATAATCCCAGCACTTTGGGAGGCCTCAGGCAGGGAGGATTGCTTGAGCTAATGAGTTCAAGATCAGCCTGGTCAACGTGGCAAAACCCCATCTCTACTAAAAAGACAAAAAAGTAACTGGGCATGGTGTTGTGCACCTCTCACCCCAGCTACTCAGGAGGCTGAGAAGTGGGAGGGTCACTTGAGCCTGGGAAGTCAAGGCTGCAGTGCGCTGAGAACAAGCCACTGCACTCCAGCCTGGGCAACAGAGCGAGACCCTGTCTCCAAAGAAAAAGGAAAAAGTGCCAAGGCTTTGCTCCTAGTTCAGTGCAGTTTCCACCCAGTACTAAAACTTTGCAAATTTTTGAGGGAAAAAACAGAAGTTGTAGAATCAATATGAACATTTGATTATATAGCAAGCAATTGTGGCAGAAAAAATTCACCCTAGTGAAATCAAGTTAACTATTCTGTGAATGAGATTAGCCAGAGGAACAATTTCTACCATGTATCTTTTAAATCACTGTTTCTCAAAGTTTAATGTGTATGGGAATCACCAGGGATCTTGTTAAAATGCAGGTTTTGATTTAGTAGGTCTGGGGTCAACCTGGAGAATTTGAATTTATTTTCTCTTTTTTTAAAAGTAGCAGTTTGAGATCGCACCACTGCACTCCAGCCTGGGCAACAGCGTGAGACTCCGTCTCAAAAAAAAAAAAAAAGTAGCAGTTTGAAATATGTTTCACATACCATAAAATTCACTCTTTAAAACTGTCCAATTAACTGCTTTTTAGCATGTAGAATTGTTCCACTATCACCATTCTAATTTCAGGACATTTTCACCATGAAAAAAAACCTTGTACCTATCACTCCCCATCCCCCTCTCCCTTCTACCCTTTCCTCCTCTGCCAGCATCTGGCAACCGTTAATCCACTTTCTGCCTTAATTTACATCTTCTGGACATTTCATACATTATATAGACTTCTATACCCGGCTGCTTTCACTTAGTGTTCAAGGTTCATCCATGTCGTAGCATGTATCAGTACTTCATTCATTTTTGTGGCTGAATAATACTCCATTGTATGGATATAACACATTTTCTGTGTCCCTGCATCAGTTTCCATTTTTTGGCTATTATAATATAGCTATGAACATTTATGTACAAGATTTTGTGTGAAAGTATGTTTTCATTTCTGTTGGGAATATACCTAGGAGTGGAATTGTTGGGTCATATGGTAACGTTTTGAAGAACCAGGAAACTATTTTCTAAGGTGGCTGGACCATTTGAGAGTCTGCATTTCTGACAAGCTTCCAGGTGATACTGGATAGCAGGCTCTGGATAACATTTTGACATCTATCAAGCAAACAGGAACATGAACTTGAACTGAATTCAGCTGCCAGAATCTGGCCAGCAGCAAAGAAGGTGGGGTGGTTTTGGTTTCCATAGGGCCTTGGTACCTCCAGTTTTCTACCATTAGTCTTAATGTACCTGGGTTTATTGTTCTGGCCTTTGAACTCTTCATGTAAATTGATATATCTACTATCTAAAAAAGAGAATATTCATTTTTAGTTGAAAGAGGCATTTCTAAGTTGAGAATGGCCATACTCTCAGTGTGGTAACACTGTTTTTGATGGTGTTCTGCAAGCATGTTGATCCTTTCTAGGTGCCATCAGAGAAGGAAGGGAATGCTGGTGGAGCATGCACACGAATGATTTAATACATTGTAGTGAATGTTGGGACAGAGCAAAGGAGGGCAGATTCAAGGAAGACTTCCAGGAGACTGGGAGTTCTGAACTCAATCTCTTTATTCATTCAACTAAGATTTAATGTAGGAGATCTAGATTCTGTGGGAGTTCAGATGAGGTAGGGATTACTTCTGTTTTATTTGAGGTAGGATGACAATGGGGGTAGGTGGTAGTAGAAATTAGAATGTTTCTTTGGGATGATAGTTGAAGTAAGCCAGGATTCTAGATATAGAGGTATATGAGAAGGGCGTGTTCTAAGATGAATAAAGCAGAAGGAACTAAAATATAGAAGTCAAATGGCAGGACGTATACTAGCTATATTTACTGAATACCATGTGCCTAGGTGCTGTGTTAAGCCTCAGGTGTACAGAAACATAAAACACGACCCTGCCTTCATAATTAGAAGTGAAGTGCGATATTTGAAGCGTAATACAATGTGATTTGTATAAAAAATAGGTGTATGGTAGGAGGTATAGATTATTTTTTAGGAAGGCATAATTCTCTTGACTGGTGGTTGGTTCTATTTGGTTTAACTCTTGGGTGCCTGAAGTGAAAGGAGTAGGAAATACAGATGTAAAGATAAGTTGAGCTGTTATTTACTGTTGTTTACTCTGGCAGAAATGGTCTAAAAAACTAAGCATATGATGAGTAATGAGAGGGGAGCAGCAGGAGTCTGAGTTTGGGGTCCTTTTCTTCCATTAGTTCCTGTGTGACTCTCCCTTGTGATCATTGATCTTTACTGGAGGTACAGAGTACCTGGTCTGGTCCTCAGTTTTAAGAAAATGAATTACCTAGTATACTCTAAGGCCCAATTTGTGTACCCCGTAGTTGGAAATTGTCAGCTGTCCTACAAAGATTGATTTATGAGCTGCATTCCAAAGCAACTTCTTATAACATATTTTCAACCTTTTGACTGTTCACAATCAAGAGTGCTTCATTCTTTTCCCATCCCGGTAGATAAAATGGCAAGACAAAATTTCCTTGAGTTATATTGGACAGGTTTTTGTGCATTATCTATTGTTGCATAACAAATTACCCCCCCTAAAACTTAGTAGCTTAAAACAAACATTTATTATCCTCTGCAATTACTCTGGGTGAAGAATCCAAGAGCGGCTTAGCTGAGTGATTCTGACTCTTCTTAAGAGGTTGCACGTGGGTGCAGTGGCTAACACCTGTAATCCCAGCACTTTGGGAGGCCAAGATAGGAGAATTGCTTGAGCTCAGGAGTTCAAGACCAGCCTGGGCAACAACAGTGAGACCTTGTCTCTACCAAAAAATTTTAAAATTAGCCAGGCATGGTGGCACATGCTTGTAGTCCCAGCTACTTGGGAGGCTGAGGCAGGAGGAGTGCTTGAGCCCAGCAGATCGACAGGTTGAGGCTTCAGTGAGCTGTGGTTGTGCCACTGCACTGCAGCCTGGGTGACAGAGGAAGACCATGTCTTTTAAAAAAATAATAATCTGAAGGCTTGACTAGGGTTGCAGGATTTGCTTTCAAGGTGACTCACTCACGTGCCTGACTGCACCTCAGTTCCTAGGCAAGTGGACTTTTGTATATGCTGACTATTCTCATGTAGCTGGCTTCCCCCACAAAGTGAGTAGGAAGCCTCAATTTCCACAGTATCTCACTGACCACACAGGTCAACCCTCTTTAGTATGGGAGGAGACTGCCCAGGGCTAGAATACCATGAAGTGAGAATCACTGAGGCAACCTTGGAGGCTGGCTGCCAAAACTCAGGATGAATTTGAGGCTACTTTCCTATTAAGTGTATAAAGCTGACCTTTGACATGCAAACTTGATAATACCTATTTGTGATCCTGAAGCACTTTATTTATTTATTTATTTTTTGAGACGGAGTCTCGCTCTGTAGCCCGGGCTGGAGTGCAGTGGCCGGATCTCAGCAGCTCACTGCAAGCTCCGCCTCCCAGGTTTACGCCATTCTCCTGCCTCAGCCTCCCGAGTAGCTGGGACTACAGGCGCCCGCCACCTCGCCCGGCTAGTTTTTTGTATTTTTTAGTAGAGACGGGGTTTCACGGTGTTCGCCAGGATGGTCTCGATCTCCTGACCTCGTGAAACGCCCGTCTCGGCCTCCCAAAGTGCTGGGATTACAGGCTTGAGCCACCGCGCCCGGCCCTGATGCACTTTAATACTCTATAGTGATTTTTTCAAAAGCATTTTGACCTAAATGTAAATATATCGCTCACTATACATACATTTTTCTAAAAGGGCGTTTAATATCTACACCAGGATGAATTCTAGTATGTTTTAACGTATTTAAGGTGCTCGATAAATACTTGCTCAGCTAAAGTCAGGTGTGGTCATGCACATCCATGGCACTTGGAAGCTGAGGCAGAAGGATTGCTTGAGCCTGGGAGTTTGAGGCTATGGTGTGCAGTGTTCATGCCTCCGAATAGCCACTGCCCTTCAGCCTGAGCAACATAGACTGTTTTTTTGTTTGTTTGTTTTTGAGATGGAATTTTGCCCTTGTCGCCCAGGCTGGAGTGCAATGGCATGATCTCAGCTTGCTGCAACCCTGCAACCTCCGCCTCCCAGGTTCAAGTGATTCTCCTGCTTCAGCCTCCCGAGTAGCTGGAATTACAGGCGTGTGCCACCACACCCAGCTAATTTTTGTGTTTTTAGTAGAGACACCATGTTGGCCAGGCTGGTCTTGAACTCATGACCTCAGGTGATCCACCCTCCTTGGCCTCCCAAAGTGCTGGGATTACAGGTGTGAGCCACTGCATCCGGCTGAGACTGTCTCTTAAACAAAAAAAAAGTGCTCGACTGATAAGAGAGAATTATCTTCCTCCTATTTTGGACTTACTTGATAAAGGCAGGAACTGGGAATTAATTTGGAGGCAGGTAAGAGTATGGCATCACTACTGGGTTTCTAGTTAGATTATCTGGTAGATAGTAACTATTTACTGATAAGGAATGCAGGAGCAGGCCTAGGCCCAAGAGAGGTGACTAAGAAATTTGAGCATAATCAGATGTGTCTCAAGTTACTGGAAAGTTGGATTTGGAAATCTGTCTATGTACATGTATTCCGAAGCTCCAGTGAGAGGTCAAGGCAATAGATAAAACTCCAGGAAAGTTGGGAAACAGGAACAACAATA